CCATATGAATATGAGTTATTTCAAAACTTGAGTTCTCCAAAATCTCTAATTCTGCAAGTTGAAGTCTTCAAATTCTTCAAGTCTGCAAGTTGAAGAGTCTGCAAGTTGAAGTCTTTGAATTCTTCAAGCCTGCATGTTGAAGTCTTCAAATACTCCATGTCTGCAAGTTGAAGTCTTCAAATTCTTCAAGTCTGCAAGTTAAAGTCTTCAAATTCTTCAAATTTTCAAGTTAGAGTCTGCAAGTTGAAGTCTTCAAATTCTTCAAGCCTAGTCTTTGAAAGATAAAATATCTCGACAAGACTTGAAGAAGGGGGCATTTGTATTCATTTAAATTTATTAAATGATTTGGATTATATTAAATTCATGAATATATTGGTCCAAATAAATATTATGGATTAATATAATTGAGTTAATTATTTAAATCCAATAAATATGAATTTAATTAAATCCCGCTCCATAAAGTCCATATGCTATGCCACTTAAATCTGATCAATTGAAGGGAATCCTATTTCTATCACAACTCCTCTATTCTAAAACTATAAATAGGGGTCCTCATAATTCAGAATAGACAACCAAAAATTCTAACAAGAAGCTAAAGAAAGCTCGTGGATCAAAAGCCACATATTGCTCTACAAGTTCAAAAATTCTAACAAGAAGCTAGAGAAAGCTCGTGGATCAAAAGCCACAGATTTCTCTACAAGTTCAAGAATTTGAGAGTCGAAGAACAATCAAGATCAAGACCAACAGATTCAAGATCAAGCTCGAAGCCCTTGAATTCAACTAGAAGTCATCAAGATCAAGATAAAGTTCAAATTCAAGTTTATCGAATATTCAAGAACAATCTCCAAAGCCCTTGAATCCAAGATCAAGTTCAAGTTCAAGTTCATCGAAGATTCAAGAACAAGCTCCAAATCCCTTGAATCCAAGATCAAGATCAAAACCACCAGATTCAAGATCAAGATAAAGTTTAAATTCAAGTTTATCGAAGATTCAAGAACAAGCTCCAAAGCCCTTGAATCCAAGACCAAGTTCAAGTTCATCGAAGATTCAAGAACAAGCTCCAAAGCCTTTGAATACAAGATCAAGTTCAAGATCAAGATAAAGTTCAAGTTCAATATCAAAATCAAGATAAAGTTCAAGTTTAAGATCAAGATCAACATAAATTTCAAAATTAAGATCAAGATAAAGTTCAAGTTCAAGATAAGATCAAGATCAAGATCAAGTTTAAGACAAATTTAAGATCAAGCTCAAGAGCCTTTGAATTATATCCGAAAGGCGAATTCAGAGGAATCATAGAGATTGTAACACTCACACTTTGAATCAATAAAATGATTGTTGGATAAATTCCCGTTCCTGATTATTATTATCTCGACGCAAATTTACTGTCTACACCATAATATCCAATAAATTCTTCTTGGTAAACAAATTTTCATTTATACCAAAAGTGATATTAACATCCCAAAATAGGTGCAAAAACACCTATGTTTCAAACGGAATAAAGGACTACTTACTAGACAAAACTATAAAAGTGTATTACATTTTAAAAAAATGCCTTTTCAAATACGAGTGAGTTAATTTTTTTTACTGCTGTGAATTAATGACCTCTTCATTTATTTTTAAACTTTCTCTTCAAATCGTCATATCACATTGCTATATTTGAAATTTTACTATAAAAACTATTACATACAGAAAACCAAAAAGGAAAACGGATAAGCACAAGTACCCCTAGACTATGATCGAAATTTCAGAGACATACCTTAATCAAACTAAGGTTTCATTACCCCCAAACCTAGTTTTTAAAAATAATTTGTACACCTTTTTGGCTTACTTGGCATCCAAACATTCCTCACACGCCTCAACTATGTGAGTCACAGCATGTGCCACGTAAGCCAGAAGGTGTATAAAATTACAAAAAAAATGAGTTTGGGAGTAACAAGACCTTAGTTTAGTTATGATGTGTCTTTGAAATTTCGATCATAGTCTAAGCGGTACTTGTGGGAATAAAATCTTAGCACCAACTAATTTGGCAGCCACATTTGTTGAAATTACTTGCCACAAATGTGAAAGTTGGCAGCCACATTTGTGGAAGTTGGTCGTCAAAGTTTGGTAGAGTTTGACAGCCAAACTTTGTGAAAATTGGCTGCCACATTTATGTCACTAATGATGTAATCAAGAGGTTCAAAAACTCTATAAATAGAGTAGTAATTGAACACTTGAAGACACACCAAAATTGAGAGAAGCAATAGAGAGTAGAGAGAGTAATCCACAAGTTATTTCTTACTTTGTGAGAAAATAGTGTGGAAGTAATATTATTGTGAGTTATAAGAAATAAAATAGTGTTGAGTAGTAGTTTTTTGACACTACCAAGTTTTTCATTAATATTATTGTATTACTTATTCGGGTATCATATTCACCCATTTTAATATTTGGTGTCATTGTTACTGTCTTCCTAGTGCTATTTAGTGTGGACATTATCCAGGGTGTGATTATCATTTTGTCCAACAACGTGTTATCAGAGCCATGACAAATAATAGTCCGTTGTCCTTTCAGTACTCCCGTCTCACAAGAAAAAATTATGAAAAATGGTATCTACGAATGAAAGCCATTCTTGGTTCTTAAGATGTTCAGGACATTGTAGACAAAGGGTATACGAAACCCGTTAATGAGGAAACTTTTCCCTCAAATGAAAAGGAGGTCTTATTAAAGACAACGGAGATCAACAGACCCTCACTCTTATCCATCAATGTTTGGATGATGGCGTGTTTGAGAAGGTGACTGATGCAACCACTTCAAAAGAAGCTTGGGAGATTTTACAAAATTCTCTCAAAGGATTTGATAGAGTAAAGAAGATAAAACTTTAAACTCTAAGGGCTGACTTTGAAGTTCTAAAAATGAAAGAATCTGAATCCATTTCAAATTTTTGTTCAAGTTTGATGGTTGTTGTAAATCAACTAAGAAGATACGGAGAGGAAGTAGATGATGTGCATGCGGTAGAAAAGATCCTTCATTCTTTAACACCTAAATTTGATTATGTGGTGTGTGCTATTGAAGAGTCTAAAGATTTAGACTCTATCACGGTATACAATTGGAAGGTTCTTTACTAGCCCACAAAGAGAAAATGAAAAGGATAAAAGAAGAGCCACTAGAGCAACTTCTTAAAACTTAGGTATCCTTCAAATGATTTGAAGGTGAGAAAATTTACAGAAAATGTACTATGGCGAGGCCGTGGAGGTCGTGGAAGAGGAAAAGTTATACCAATAAATTCAACAATGAAGATAAAAGTCACCAGTCATTCAGAGGTCGTGGCCATGGTCAACGAAGAGGTAGAAGACGTGGAGCTTATCAAGGTACAAATGAATTGAGGTATGCCATATTTATTGTGTATTTAAATGGTTTCGTGGGTAATAGGACCTCCACAAACTTAAGGTGTCTACTTCAAAAAAAGGTTTAAGTTTGATGGAGTAATTATGTATTTTCTCTTAATTTTTATAAACAATTTTAAAGATCTTATATATGTTTTTATCAAAATTTATTTATAATTTACTTATGAAAGCAAAATGCCCAATGTAAGAACATATATCTTGTTGGCTTCACATGTATGATTGTCTATCACAATTCTTTCTGTGATTGAAAATATTACTATCTCTCCCTTCTAGGCCAAAATAATAAATTTTGAAACTTTTTTCATAGTAAATCCATTGATCGAAAGTTCAATAATGTCAATCATTCTAACTTTTTTTTTTTTCATTTTGATTGGGTTGTTGTCACTTTTTTCACATTTTGAATGAATTGTTTCTTTTATTTTGTGTATGGTTAATAATCGAATAATCGACCACACCGAATCGAAACCGATAAATGTATATTATATTTGATTTAGATTGATTTTGATAATTTTAAAACCCATTAATTTAGTTTGGTTCTGATTTTGACCAATAACAGATCCAAACCGACCCAAGAATACCCATGCCACCCGCCTATTTAACACATCTATTTGATTAGAATCTTTCTTTCTTTACCTTTTTTGAATTCGGAAATGGGCCTAAAATACCCTTCAACTATGCAAATTGGTACAAAATTACCCTTCTTCTACCTTTCAGGCCTAAAATGCCTTTGACGTCAACCTTTTGGCTCTATTTTACCCTTATCTTTAACAACCCAAATTCATTAATGACGTGTCACTATTTTATTGGGTAGCCTAATAATTAATTTAACTAATTTAAAAACCCGTATACCCACCCAAAAAAGCCCCACCTGTTTTTAACCCAACTTTCATCATCTTCTTCTTCTTCGTTGTCGTCATCTACTTTGTTCTCGTCATCTTTTTCTTCTTCTTTGTTGTTGTCTTCTTCCCCCTCTTCTTCGTTGTCATCATTCTCTTCTTGATTTTTATCATTTTCTCCATCTTCACCGCCTTCATCTCCTCCTGATTCTTGATTTCCACTTTCATTTTGTTCAGAATTTTGATGATTCACGTTATTCCGATCCTTCATTCTGTCTCTCTTCTTCTTCTTCATCATTGCCATTTTCATCATCTTGACGTTTTGTTTTTGCGTTCTTCCTCTTTTTCATCAGTACCTCCATTTTCAGGAATTGCTTCTCCTAAAGCTAACATTTTTCCTAATTTTTTTTGTAGAGAAAATCAAAGTTGAGTTGTTTAAAACGGGTGGGGCTTTTTTGGGTGGGTATATGAGTTTTTAAATTAGTTAAATTAATTGTTAGGGTAACCAATAAAATAGTGACACGCCATTAATGAATTTGCGCTGTTAAAGATGAGGACAAAATAGAGCTAAAATATTAATGTGAAGGACATTTTAGGCCCAAAAGGTAGAAGAAGGTAATTTTGTACCAATTCGCATAGTTGAGGGGTATTTTAGACCTTCACGAATTCTTCAATTCTTCCCATAATTTACTTCACTAACTGGACGAAAGACGCTCCTCACGCCGTCGTCTGCTTAGCCTCAGAATCTTCTGGAATAGCTGCTCAACTCAAGTTGAGTTGTTCTCAAATGGCGAACAAGCCTCAGCCAGTTCAGGTACTATACTGTGGAGTCTGCGGGTTACCAGCAGAGTACTGTGAGTTCGGACCCGACTTTGAGAAATGCAAACCCTGGCTGATTCAAAATGCACCCGATCTCTACCCTGATTTCCTCAAAGGTTTTAACCCTAAGAATGCCCTATTTATGATTTTTAATTTTTTTTTATAAATAGGGCCTGCATTCTTTATCCTTGAGATTTTGTTTATATTTGTTTGTTTTTGCAGAATCAAGTGGAACAGAGACAGAAAAAGTCTCTGATAAGCTTCAGTCGACTTCAATCTCTGAAGGTGAGAGCCTGTTTGCTATTCGTTTAAACAGTTGTCATCTTCAAGGGTGAACTGCTGATTTTAAGTTATACCTGGTAAACCCTGTGTAATATGGTTATATAATTTAGTGAAGTGATTTAGTTAGCGTAGGTGTAATTTTTTTAGTTTAATTTGCTTCTCCAGGGATAGTGATTCTGATATTCTAACAAGGAAAGGGGTGGAAGAAGTAATATATTATGGTTGGCGAAGCGGGAATGAGACTATTGTTGGAACCCCTATAGAAACAACTAAGTTAGATGGTTTCTTTTCATGTATGGAAGCCTCACACAAAGTTACGTGGTGCATTTGCTAGTAGGAGGATACAAGTAGCGGTGGAACACTGGAAGTGTGCATGAGCTTACAGACGTTGGGCTTTTAAAATTATGTTGTTTGGTATATACAATTGCCTAATAATTGGTTGTGTAGAGTGGATTTCAGTTTGAAGTTTAGTTCAACCTTTTTGGTCCCTTGTCTAATTCAAGATATAAAAGTTGATCCTAGGTGATGCATATATATGTCAGAAAAAGATATATAATCTTTAAATTTGAGAAACACCAAGGACATTAATTTTATATGGTTGTTGTAGATATCCTATCAACATCGAGATTTGACTAATTGTACATGCATGCTTGAAAGATCTTTTTGGGGTTGCTTGCTGAATATTTTCTGATTTAAAGAAGGGAATTTTTATTTGTACAAATGGTACTTCAATCTTGGAGCAAGCATGAAGAGATTTACAATATTTCTTTATCTTTTTAGTTTTTCTACCAATCGATCGTCAAGAAGTGTTGATAGGAGATGACGGGATCAAGAAGAGATGGAGAGTATTTTGATCAATTAATCAACTCTAACCAAGAGAATTATATTTTAGATCTTCACACGTCTGTGAATGATAGAAACTTTGGCTACACTCGTAGAATTAGGCTGACAGAGGTAAAGGATTCCATGAGAAATATGAGGATTGGAATAGCTTGTAGTTGATATACCGTGAGTTTACGGTATTTCTAATACATTTCACTTACAAGTTGTGTGTGTCTAGGGCCTTTTTATACTGATTTTTATGTGTTTTATCATGTTTTGCAGGAAAGGTGTTCAGGTGCGGAAGTTTAGAGTTAGCTGAAGAAAATGCAGAAAAAGGCAACCACGGAGGTCATCTACGGACCGTAAGTCCATTCACGGTCCGTAGGTGATGACCGTAGATCAGTAGGAATGTGTTGAGGACAAATCAGGGAAATCTGACCAAGTGTGGAACCACGGTGCCCATTGACGGTCCGTACGGACCGTACTGTTGATCCGTAGAGTGAGGCTGCGAGGGTTCCAGTACCTGATTTTTGAAGATGCTAAGTATGGAGCTACGGAAGGGATTGACGGACCGTAGGTCGATCTACGGTCCGTGTTGTTGGTCCGTCGTTTGCTTCAGAGAAGCTGATTGTTGGATGCTGAAATATTTTCTAAGTCCCGAGTGACGGAAGGGACTTACGAACCGTAGATCTATCGACGGTCCGTAAGTCAGTCTCGTGGATCGAAGACGCGTACCTGAACAAAACTTTCCTTAATATGTTTCCTTTTTTATTTAGGATTTGTTTTCTATAAATAGGGCATGTAAACCTCGTTTTTGGGGGTTAGACACTATTATTCTATTTTTGCTTTGTAACTTTGGAGATTAATTTGCAACCCTAGCAATTATTGATTTCCCAAGTTCGTTTTGAAGATTTTGACTTTGCAATTCAAGTTAATTTTTTGGGTTTAAAAAAAAAAAAAAAAAAAGGAAAAAGAATAAAATATTTTTTTATTTTCGGTGAAGCTGTCCGCGTCAATTTTCTTTTGCTGTTGTAGCCTTCCATTGTGAGACGTGCACAGTAGAGGTAAATTGAAAATTTCCAATTGCTGCCGCCTTTCCTTATATACATAAATATATTATTTTATTCAATTTAATCCATTAAGTTGTCTGCTTGATTTCCTTCTTCAACCTTCCATCTTTAATTCGTTTTAACTCCAAACTTCTTTATTTTTCCACCAATTTAATCCTACAAATAAAATATACCATTTAGCACAATTCATAAAATTCATGCTCATAAAGGACATATATAAATAATAAATGTGAGGAAATAATGATTAAAAATATGTATTTTTAGTCTCACATCAACACCCCACACTTAAACTTTTGTTCGTCCTCGAGCAAACACTAAAACTCATCCAAAAAAAAAATCATACTAGCAATGTCATCACTTTGGTTAATACAAACAATTATGTCATATACCAATTTCAAAACATCAAGTAGACTTCTCAATCATTATGCAAGTCATCCAAATAAACAACAAACCTCCTAACCTCCTAACCTCGAGGAAGGACTTTGAACTCATCAAATTTAAGTTTGCTCTCCTACTCTAATCAAAGAAAGTTAATAACATCACTTATCTATCATGAAACAAGTGCCCTCACAAGAAGAAATAGTCCACACACTTGAATCAACAGATTGAATATAAATTAAGGACTTGGCATCAAAGAACACTCTTACACTCACAAAGAAAATTCACATGTATGCACAAAGAACCATATGCTTGCCCATTATGTACATCTCCACTAATTAAGCATGCTTGAATAGAATCAAATATGACTTTAATGGATTGTACTGTAGGCTAGGGGATGGGTAGGAAAACTATATAATAGTGACTTACACTTCCTTAAGCACTTTGCAATTTTAGACTTCATAACCCATTATTTTCTTCTCTTTATTTTCAGTCCTCTCTTCAACAATTATTTCACAAGTAATTCTCATCCTCTCAAAAATGTTTTAATCCTTTTTTAAAAAAAAAAAAAGTTTCCCTTCATAATAGCCACCCTCAACTTACGTATTTTACATGCGTTAAGGTGCACAATATCCTTGGAAGGACCAGGGCCATCATCAAAGTAACTTTTTTTTTTTCATGTCACATTTTTTTTATTTTTTATTTTTTCAAAGAGGGCTTATAAGCACTTTGTAGCTATCATTGATTACTCAATCATCCCTTTTTCTCATAATTGATCATTAGAATAAATCTATGCTATAATGCTCAAGGAAGCAAGGTGCAAAAACTAGGGATTCAACAAAATAGTTAAGGGCAAAATATGGCTATCAATAAAAGGCTACAGGCTCAAAAGGGCTAACTAGTGATAAAATATCTGAAAAGGCAAAACTTTACTAGACAAATCAAAGAAAGCCTATTATCATCTCCTAAACAAAGCAACACTTTTTATTTCGTTTCATGACATGCAGGACAAGTTATAGACTAAGATGCAAAACATGGAATAAACAAAGTCTCACCACACATGGCACAAGTATCAATCAGATGGATCAATTCCACTTCTAAGAGAGACAGGATCATAACAAACTACAAAATAAAATAAGATATATACAAAGTCACAACCATGAGCTTAGATGTCAAAGAGTCTGCAATTTTCTTTTTCAAGCATTCACAAGAAAGTACTTCTCAAAATTAGGCCCAAACAGTAAGTATCACATAACTCAAAAGGATCTTTTCTTTTCTCTCCAAAAAATAAAATTAAAACAAAAATAAAATTTATTCCTAAAAAATAAAAGACACTCGGTTCAAAGGGACTATCCTCGGGAAAAGAACCGAAAACAAAAGCCAAGGAACCCATCCTAATAAAAAAAAAGACTCAATAAAGCAGTAAAAACTAGGAATTTATTCCTCCACCCCACACTTAAAAAGATGCTATGTCCCCAAAGCATTAAATAAAATTTAAAACAAGGGTTAGAAAAACTCTCTGAGGTCTCATGACCTAGCTAGTAGCATGTCCTCTTTATTTTCATCAAGGGTCGAACGCACCCCACAATTAAGCTCAAACATGTTCCTTGGCTCAGACTTACACTAATCTGCAAAAACAAGAAAAAAAAATGATAGTAATAAAATAAAATAAGAAGTTAAACTACTAATTGGGTTGCCTCCCAATAAGCGCTTAATTTAACGTCGCGGCACGACACCATCAATAGTATCTGTATAGAGGTTTTGGAAATGTCTTGGGGAGGTCAGAGTCAAATGATTCATCAAGTATTCAATGCTATACTAAGAAGCCGTAGGATGCCCAATGAGTGGAAGAAGAGCACCCTGATTTTGATTTATAAGAACAAAGGAGATAGTAAAAGTCATGTGAACTATTGTGGCAATGAACTCATATTAGTGCTATGTAACTCTTGGAAAGAGTGATAGAGCGTAGACTTAAGAACTCGACAAGAGTGAAAGATAATCAATTTGGTTTATGCCCGGTTATTCTCTGAAAGTGAAAGCCCATTTGCTATTTTGGTTAGTAATCTCCATTTTCTCGAGGGTGAATTGTTGCTTATAAACTAGTCATATATATGGCAAACTCCGTGTAATATGGGTATATAATTTAATGAAGTGATTTTAGTCTGCTTAGGTGTATTCTTGTTTGGTTTAATAGGCTTCTCCAGAGAGAGTGATTTTGAGATGCTAACAAGAAAAGGGGTGGGAGAAGTAATAAATTATGGTTGATGAAGCAAGAATGAGACTTAATGGAACCCAATAGAGATAACAAAGTTAGATGATTTCTTTTCATGTGTTGAAGCCTTGCACAAAGTTACATAGTGCATGTGCTAGTAGGAGGATACAAGTAGTGGTGGAACATTGGAAGTGCACACGAGCTTGCCAGACATTGGTCTTATTAAAATACATAAAAGGGACAATCTACCCCCAAACTATCTTAAATGGTATGTTAATATCATCCGTTATACTTTAAGGTCATTCCTATCCTTATCGTCAATCTTTTGGGCTGTGTACATCCTTATGGTAAATAGAAGGACACGTGGCATTATCTAAACAACCTATTTGAAATTAATTTAATTTTTACCCACAAATTAAACCCACCCATCTACCCATATTCTAACCCGCCCTGACCCAAATTATAACCCAAAACACCAAAAATCAAGGAGAATCCACAAGAAATAGAGAGAAAGCAGGGTGGAGCGAAAGCATGAAACTTGTGAATTAGCAGTAGAAATTAAGCAAGAAGAAGCGAAGATAGAGTATTTTGTAGCAGAAGATAGTGTCTTGAACCATCAAAAATGAATTCCACAATGTCCCAACAAGAATAAAAAACACCATATACAAAGCCAGTGCAAAACAAAGAAAAAAACGAAGAATAGAAGCAAATTGATCAACCCAAAGAGCCTCAAAATGAAGAAAAATAATATGTTTTGCTAGAATGTTTACTTTTATTGTTGTGTGAACCGAAGCTATCAATGGAAGTTTCAAAAGAAACATGGGTCTACATAAGGGATTTTCTTAGATGGTTAACTGATAGAAAACAACAAGTTAAACCACGCAAGCAATAGATTCCTAAAGAACAAACCAATAGGCGATGGAGTACTGACACTAAACCTACGGAACACAGGAACAAACACCTATTACAACCATCAAGATCATTGTGTTCTTTATCGACAGCGACATGTATGTCATTGGGCTGGTTACCATGATTGAGTAGAAATTAGTGAATGTAACAACTTACAAGTTGTTTGTGCTAACAAGATGCAAGTTAAAGTCGATGAGGAGGACGACGACTGAGTTGACACCGGATAATTGTTGCTGGAAGAAGAGAAAAATTGATTTGTGGGAGAATTTACAATGAGAGTGCTTAAGTTATTCGGGTCAGGGTGGGTTAGATTATGGGTAGATGGGTGCGTTTTAATTATAAAAGATTACCTTAGGTGGTGCCTATAAATGCCCAAAAAGATATGATGTGTTGTTTAAAGTTGAGAAAGACCGCCCCTAAGGGTGTGGCCTAGTGGTTAGTGAAGTGGTTGAGAACCCTGAGGTCTTAGGTTCAAAACTCAATGGAGACCAAAAATACTGGGTGATTCTTTCCATCTGTTCTAGCCTTGGTGGATAGAGTTACCTAATACTTGTTGTTGGTGGAAGGTGGCAGGTATCCGTGGAATTAATTGTGGTGCTAAAAAATTGGCGTGGATATCACGGTCATAAAAATAAGTTGAGAAGACCAAGGTCATAGATCTTACAAGGTCGTTGCAGATATCTTGTCAACATCGAGTAATGAGGAATGGTAAATCCAGGATTGAAAAGTCTTTCTGGAGTTGCTTGCAAAAATGTTTTTTTGAGTTAAAGTTGTTTCTCAACATGAGAGATGGAGAATTTTATTCTAGTCAATTGTTTAGCTCTAACCAAGAGAAACTCAGTTTAGACCTTTACACATATGTGAAAAGGATGAACTTTGGATACATTCGTAGAATTAGGTCGACAAAGTTAAAGGATACCATGAACATTATGAGGATAAGAAAATCTTGTGGTCAATGTAGTATCCGTATAGAGGTTTGGAAGTGTCTTGGAGAGGCCGAAGTAGAATGACTCACCAAGCTATTCAATGCTATATATCAAGAAGTGGTAGGATACTCGATGAGTGGAGGAGGAACACCTAATTCTGATTTATAAGAACAAAGGAGATAGTCAAATTTGTGCGAACTATTGTGGCATTGAACTCATGTGTCGTATGATGGAACTTTGGGAAAGAGAGAGCATAGACCTAAGAACACCGAAGAGTGAAAGAGAACCGGTTTGGATATATGCTCAGTAGATCTACAAATGAGGCTATATTTTTGCTAAGAAAATTGATGAGAATATATCACAGATGTAAGAAAGATCTGCACATGGCGTTTATCCACCTAGAGAAACAATATAATAGAGTACTTCGAAAGGTCCTTTGGTGGGTGATGGAGAAGAAAGAAGTTCATCTTATTATTAAATATATAAATGTCATAAAAGACATGTATGAACGAGCCTTCATCATTAAACAGTAGTAGTTGATATAGAGGAGTTCCCCACAACAATTGTTTACACTAGGAATCGACATTGAGCCTCTGCTTGTTTACCCTATTTATGAATGAGTTAACCAACAAAATACAAGATGAGGTTTTATGGTGTATGCTATTTGCGGATGAAATTGTGTTAAATGATGATTCTAACGAGGGTGTCAACCAAAAGCTTGAGCTATAAAGAGCAAGAGTTTTAGAATAAGTACAAGACTGAATACATGCACTGTAGGTTTAGTTAGCATGTGAAGAGAGAAATTAAAGTGAAACTAGATGGGATTGCAGTGTGAAAATGCAAACAATATAAATATCTAGGGTCATTGTTTCAAAAGAATGGAATGATAGAGGAGTGTTACTCATAATATTAAAATTGGATGGTTAAAATGGAGAAATGCTAGTGGAGTGTCATGTAATAGAAGAATGCCTACTAAAGGGAAAGGTAAGTTCTATAGAACAACGGTAAAACTTGCAATGTTATTGTAATGCTAATTACAAAGGAGAGAACTAGAGAAGAATTCAGACTTTTATTTATTGGAAGTTTTGACTATTACAAATTACAATTCATACTCAAACTAAGCTAGTCTTGAGCTAAATTCCTTCCAACAATGGTGATTATCCAGTAAAAGATGAGGGTAGAAAGTTTAGAAAGAGATTAGAAGAAGAAGATTGAAGAGAAAAGAACGAGAGAGGAGATAATTGGATTTACCAGATTTTTCATAACTACCCAGCCCAATCTGTCGGTGGCTTATTTAATTGGAAAGTGGCCCAACTGTTGTAATTGACTTCCAGTTGGCTCAACTGTTGTAATTGACTTCCAGTTGGCCCAACTAACCCTTTTAATCTGAGCCGTCTGATTAATTTCGTTACATGCAATCTCAGAAAAGCCCTAATTCTAATTCCACCGCAATTTCATTTCTTCTCCAACATATAACAGTTATATAGTAGAGAACATTGGGATGCTAAAGTCCAACATATTGACAAGATCTATGTTGTAGAGATGTAGATACTAAAATGAATGTGTAGTCATACAATATTATGTAACATTATAAATGATCACATTCTAGAAGATGCAAGTAGCATGCATTAAGGATAAAATGCGAGAAGCTCACATGAGATGTTTGGACATGTCTTGCATCGACCTACAAATGCACCCGTCTGTAGGTGTGAAACTAAGGTAACTGAAGGTCTTAAAAAAGGACAGGGTAGACCTAAAATCACATGGAAGAAAGTTGTTTGAATGACCTACAAATCCTTGGTATCAATATAGACTTGCCTAAAAATAGGGCCCAATGAAAGAAAAACATCCATATAAGTGATATATGCTAGTTGAGAAGAGGTTTTAGACTTGTTAGAAAAGTTCTAATATTATCATCAATATTATTACTATTATTATTTATTCATATATTTAACTTATTTTGCACTTCTATTTTATTTATATGATTAATGATGTTAAATGAAGAAGTGGAGATTCATACAATTGATCTCAACTTATTTGGGACTGAGGCATAGTTGTTGTAGTCTACGTTTGACAATTGGTTAGGGTATTCTAGTGAGTCATTATTGGTTGGTTGTATTCCCTTAGTTTTGGAAGTTCATCTCATATCTCTTTATTGATGCCCCTGTTTTTATAAATTCACTTGTTTTTTTCCTCTTCAGAACTTGAATCTTTTATTTATATTATGTCCTCCATGGTAGTCCATATATTTCTTCTCATGTTATTGGATACTCCCAGATCATTTTGGTGGAAGGTTTCTTTTCAATAGTCATTTTATGGCCAAGAGATGCTTATTTCTTAATTCTTGTTGTGTTTTTCAACGTCATAATATTCTATTATCAACAACAAATACCCAGTGTGGTTCCACAAAGTTGGGTTTGCTGGTCTAGGGAGGGTAGAGTGTATGCAGTACTTACCCTTACCTTAGAGGTAGAGAGGTTGTTTCGATAGACCCTCAGCTCAAGAAAAAAATGTCCAAAGCAGTCCAGAAAGTGAATAAACGGAAGCTAAAGCATAACAAAGCATTTGAACACTAACTACAACAAATTAATACATTAACAAAGTACAAGAAACAACAGATAGTAACAGAAATCGAAGAACAAGAAACTATAGGAGCAATACTACGAATACTATGTATAGCAAGAAAACACACTACTTCTTCAACCTATCTCTACCTCTTTTGGACATAATATTTTGTTATCATGTCAAGTTTATGCTGGATTGGTTTTTGTAGCTGGGTCAATAGTGGTAAAAAACCCATTTGAGCAGAGAACTCTAAGATTAATTAGGTATTGTTTAATCTGCCCTCTGAATTCAAATTGAATTTTGTGCTTATCCTCTTTCTTCCTTTTGTTGGATCAGGTTCTTCAACATCTAAACCAGAAGAAGTCAAACGTCTTCCTGGTGGAAAGATAAAAAAAGAAAGTAAGAACTTTCAAAGACTTTTCTTGTTATCTGAAGCATGCAAATCTCTCTTTTAAGGTTTCTATGACTCCGCCCCATCCCAATGATAATACAAGTCATGTACAAATTTTGATTGGTGAATTTCTTATGGTGATACTTTGACCAACAGATTGTGATTGTGGACGATGCTAATAAAAAAAGCTAAACTCTTTCCTGTCATGAACTATGATGATGCGCTTATTATTATTCCTCTCCTACTATTTTATTCTTCGGTTTTATTATTACTTGTTATTTCCTTTGCTTCGGTTATCATATTATTTGCTATTGCTACTGTTTTTTTTCCCCATTATTTTCAACATGGCTTCTTCACTAGTATTTTTGATACTCATTTTGTTATGCTTTTCTTGAGTCAAAGCTTTCAGAAAAAACCTTTGTACCCTCACAAGGTAGAGGTAAGGTCTACGTACATACCGGCCTCCCTAAACTCCACTTGTGGGATTACACTGGGTATGTAGTTGATTTGTTTATTCTTCATTTCGTCATTTTCCCAGTTATTTTTCCTGGTTGAACATACTTGAAGGCTGGAGCTATTGTGTTTTTATAAAGGTTTTTATCCTTGTCAATGTTAAGAAGAAAACTGGCTCAGGAGGTTAGGGTCATGATCAAAAGGAAGTGTATAAGGACTAACTAAAGTACTACACTAAGAGAAAGCAATAGTGCTTATTTGAATCACTTGTACAGGCAAAAATCCCTGTGAACTAGTATTCAGCAACTGCCAAAGGCACACTATTGTTTCTCTTTGCATGATCAGTTCACTATTATAGGTTTAGGCTAGTGTTTCGTTGCATGGATGAAAATTATTAGTATCAGATATGTGAGAGCTATAATTGTTTGAATTAATGTATTGATCTTTTTCAGTTTTTTAATCATTTGGTTCTTTCAACCATCATTATTAAACCTGGCAGAGAACCTGAAATGAAAGTGGTTGTCAAGGGTTCTGTTCTGGAACCCTCATTAAAAACATAGAATCTTGAGGCTGCAGAGGGTTTCTTTTCTTTTCTATATTCCTTTTTCCTTTTTTTTTTGGGTGATTGAAATTTATATGGGCATCTTAATGGGATAAAATGGGTTTCTTTAAAAGAATTCTCATTTCTAATGCTTCAATTGATTTGGGCAACTAACTTAAGCAATCCAATAGTTATCTAATAAGTTAAGGTACGATTTCAGAAGTGAGTATGACTGCAAATCATTTGGTATGATATAGTTCGCTGTACAAATACTGTAGAACAGCGAGTGACATATCCACAATGTCCCAACTTCCTACAATCAGCCTTTAATTGTGTCCAGGACTAGAGCTCCTGAACTAATCTACAATTGGTTATAAGTTGTTGAATTATTTGGTAGGACAAGCAAGAAATTATTATTGAAAAGGAGACACGGAACAAGCGGAAAAGTATCACAACTATCAAAGGCCTTGAACTCTTTGGTGAGCATTTACGTATAGTTTATTGTGTATTATGTTGCATAATCTGTGTTCTTCTTTCTCTAGATCCTTTTCGACTTCCAAGTTGCTGCAGTTCTTAGTCTGGCTTTTTTTTTTGACATTTAAGGTGTTAAACTAAGTGATGCTTCCAAAAAGCTTGGTAAAAACTTTGCTACTGGAGCTTCCTTGGTGAAGGTGTGTTGAGTTATAGTTTTTGATTTTCTCTGGTATAAGTTTGTTGTATGCCTGGCCTGCATTCACCCTTTTTGTAATAAGTTTGTTAGGGCCAACTGAGAAGGAGCAGATTGACGTTCAAGGAGACATAGCTTATGACATTGTGGAATTTATTACAAAAACCTGGCCCGATGTATGCTAATATCTGTATTATCTTTACATTTTTGTCTATAAGTCTATTTTTAGCTGGTTATTTACTAGTAATATAGAAAATTATGGCTGTTTATATGTATTATTATAATCATCAGAATGAGTTAAATTTCTTCCTCTTTGTCCAAGAAAGGAACTGCAATTGACAAAGATTGCATCCCTCTAGCCAAATATGCGGTCAATGCATCATTCAATCTACTCGAGTTGAAACATTACATTTCTGAATTTCTAATCATGCTTTAGAATTTGTCCTTTCATCTAAAATTGTTTGTGAACTTTTTTCTTGTTGCTACTATCAAAGAAAATACCGAGTTACATTTCTGTGTGTCCCCCTCAAGAGTCTTACATTTATTCTATATTTGAGATTTGGTCCATATCTATGTCAATGTTGCTTCAGTGCCCTCAGAACTTAACATGCTTGGTAAGTTGCTCTCAGTGTCACCTCAAGTGTTGGATAAGAACTTAACCAGATCGGGAAGAAATAATTAAGAGGCTAACTGTAACTTCCTCTTTCCGGCTATTTTTATTTCTGAGCCTGTGGGTACTTTCATTCTCAAGTACCTTGTTTCATTGAAACAGTAACATAGATGGATGTGAAATTGTTTGGGAAATTCTTATTATTTACTAGGTTAGTTAGGTATTTTTAAGAAAAATAAAAATATTATATTAGTAGACAGTAGATACCCTTGTCTTACCCAATTTCTTTAAGTTGTTTGCTGAAACTCTTTTTCTCTGTGATTCTCAGGTTCCAGAATCTGCAATATTCTTTATAGAAGATGGGAAAAAGGTTCCTGCGGCATAAACTTAGGACTCTTTATTCCTGCTTGCAGCAAGGTGTTTTATTAGGTCAATGCTCATATCAATACGATTAAATTTTTGAGTGAGAATTTGTATTGGAGCTATTGATGCTCCTATCCCGTCCAACCCTTTTCCCTACAGTTACTAAGGGAACCCAAAAACACAAAAGTATTTTGCAGTTTAGATATGGTTTGGTTTGGTTACCTGGCAGCATTCTGCTTGTACAGTTGCTGCAATACTATTTTGGTATTATACTGTATGTCATGATGGTGTCTATTTTTTTATTGAATGGTAATCATATTTATTCCTTGGATCGATATTTGTGAAATTCTAAGTTGGTTACTCTATTGTAATTAGATAGAGGAATATTGTTGGAACTATGTAAGATTTGTTTGATCTGGATTAAGTTTTCAATTTGACCCTACTCGAAGTGCATTTATTTGTACTCTGAAAGAATCATTCAACTTTGGTTACTGCATTTAAGCTACTCATAGAAAAGACCCTCTTCTCCCCACAGTATGCTATTTCATATTGTACATGATTTTTTAAAAAATAATATCAATATTACTTGAATAAAGGTACAAGTTTCTGTGGTTGACAAATATGAATTCTCATCTGCTAACTTATTTGTTGAGTTCAAGATGATTGAATATCGCGTGAACCTACAAAGACAAATAATCTAAGGTCAATTAGATATCAGTGAGTTTTTCTTTTATTTATTATGATTTTATGAGGTACAGAAATATAATGAAGCGTAGCTCACTTAATACTTCTGCATATACAATATTCTTGGTGTATTCTCATTTCATCCGTCGTGGTTGTTCTATCATGACCAGAACTCTTGTTATCGACACTAGTATTCTTCAAAGATGGTTTTAAGAAAACATCAAACACTGGAAGTTCGTTACAACAAACATCAAACTTGTGTACCTTGTTTATGACAAGATTAATTGGCTAGAAAGTTCTGATTCTTTTCCAACAATTCTTTATAACTAACACTGCAAAAGATGTTGGACGTAAAAACAGATCACACAGGCTATACTTGCAGATAACAAATCCACACTTTTGCATTGTTGTCTTTATGCCATAACTTCACAAAATCACATCTTTATTTTCATAGATTCTTTCACACATTAGTAAGACTATTTCGACATAACACCATATGATAATTTTCTTACACATCCAATTTCACATGGCATCTTTACATACTCTCTCACCACCTGCACTTGAATACACAACACCCTTTTCACAATTATTTTTTTTATATCTACACTTTCTCTCATTCCATTCACAAACATTCTCAACTAACAATAGACACAGACCTAGGAAGGTGTCCCACATTCATTCCTACTTTACTTCTAATAAAATTACACTAAAATCTCGGAGACTATGCTTTATAGAGAAGAGATTTTCAATACATCTCAACTCGATGTGTGTAACGGACGCTTCCAGTCGTTATGAGTAGACCAATGGTGAAGGATTTGGGTCAGAAAACTTTTTGAGTAGTAACTTGAAAATCTTAGGCTAGGCCAGTCTTAGACGAAATCTGAGCAAGGTGGGGTCTAGGCTGATCTGAGAAGAGATTGAGGATAATGTCTAAGTTTGGGTTGGATTTCTATTAGCTAAGACATTAAGGAATCCATAGGGCATTACAAAAGTGAATTCGGGTGAGTAGAACTCCCGATATCGATCTTTGCGTGAATGGTTTGGTTGGGACGTTAAAGGTTAAAAGTGTGTTGCGAAATGGGGCTTTGGGAAGGATTTTTCGAGTCTCTGACACCCGCTATAGCGGGTGTCATGCTGCTATAGCATGAGAAATTAATTCCCGCTATAACGGGTGAACCACTATAGCAGGGTTAGTCGGGCTTTTGTGTAGAGAAGTTCTAAAACCTATCATTATTAGCTATCTCATTTTAGGTAACTGTAGAGGTGAACTAGGGCATTTTTGATCTTGTTTTCATCGTTCTCTTCGATAAAGGTAAGTTAATTACTCCTTTAACTTGCAAATTGACTCTTAAGCCCTAGAATCTGGTCAACCTTAGGGGAGAGTTTTAACTTGAAATTATGGCGTGAAAATCCATGGTTGGGTAGAATGATCATGAAATTGGCCTAGGGTTAGGATTTGAGTATAATCCGGGTATTGTTAGGCCATTGGTCATTGATTGTTGTGTTTTATTATTGTTTTAGGCAAAGAACAAGCCAAGGCATTACAAAAGAGGAAAACTCAAGTTCTTTAGAGTTTCTAAGGCTTGATTGAGGTAGGTGATGGTTGTTTGTTTCCAATGTATGTAACATTTGCATGTTAACTGCTTTATAGTAATATTGGTGCAATATATGTAGGAAACCCATAAGGGACAAATATAAAATGACATCATGTTAATAAATCTCATGCAATGAACCTGTTTAATTTACTTGTGGCTTTAAGTGTGGTTATTCATTGTGATTGTGATTGTACATGTTGTTTGTTATTGATGGTTGGCTCGGGTACCACGCCGGTACACTAACAATGGTTGGCTCAGGTACCACACTGGTACACTAACAATGTTGGCTCGGGTACCATGCCGGTATACTGATAGTTTGTGTATGGATCCCATGAGAGGATTGGGTATGTGCTGTTGTGATCATATTGGACATGTTCAGTGCATTGGTTAAGTAAATAAGTGTGACTAGGAGTCTATATCTGTTGTGACTTATTGATATATGTGTTGGCTTGTATTATTGTCTTTTGGTTTCATGTTTACATTCATATTTTAGAACTGGTCGTATGATACACTGTGGTTGTGTACTAATACTGCACTTGCTCTTTCCTTGTTGAGTACATGGTATATTTAAGTGGTTGATACAAGACCTCACTTGTGAGACCAGTGACATCTCAATCCAAGGGTGAGCTATTTCTTCCGAATTGCCATGAATTCCTCATAGTTTCTTTTCCATCTTTTTGGACTCAGACATTTCATACACTTCAATTTATTGTTTTCTTGGTTGGGGTTGCATCCCCTTTTTCTCAATACTCTAGAGTTTTGGTACTTCAACTTTCAGTTTCTAGGGGGTTGTTTCTGCATATTTATTTAATGATAACTGAATGAGTTCATGGGAACTCAATCTTTTATTTGTTTTAACTTGTTTTCCTAGTGTTTGTATAACGAGTTGCTTCTTAAAAATGGTTGATGGGTTATATAAGGGGTTAGTAATTGGTTCTCCCATCAGAGGGTTTGTATGAGTGTCACTCATGATGTTCTAGATCGTGAAAAAGTTAGTATCAGAGCCCTAGGTTTATTAATCTCATCGTACCAAAATGAGTCTAGTAGAGTCTTGCAAAACGGTATGGATATGTCTGTATTTTTCTGCAAGAGGCTAGAAGACTTTAGGAAATTATCTCTTCTTTCTTCTTTCGTGCTATAACTTAATTTCAATTGGTATCCGGAGATCCGAATTGGTTTCTCTTAAAAGAGATGGTACTCAAAACTACTCATGAATTCCTTTGGAAATCGGTGTTTCCCCTCATTTTAAATGTAAAAACATTTATTCTTGGGAATACTTATTTCCCATATATTCATTTTGAAAAATAAAACTCAACTCTACTCATCCTCAAACTCTAGTACTCAAGTCTTAAAACAACTTTTAAAAGATTATAAAATACTTCTCAAAATGACTTGAAAGAACTCTCAAGACTTTACTCTTAACTCTACCTTGAATGTGAATTATAAATTCAATGGTTATGATTCATGTTATAAATGATCTCTCGATGTTTAGATGTAGTTAGAATAAAAAAGGAGTGAAGGTACACTTTAAAGGAACTCAGACGGGTTAAACAACTGAAAATAGGACGGGGCAGGTGACCCTGGCGCACTGAGTGGCGCAGGGGCCAGCCCTCAAACTTCATAAGCTCTTTTCTGGCGCACTGCTGGCGCGGCGCGTCATCCTCTGCCCAGATTTTTTCTGACGAATTTTCTTTCTCATTTTTTGACCCTAATTCATCTAGAATCAATTGTTTTCCTCAAATTTTCCTTAGATTCAATTACCCAATACAAGGACACGATAATCTACTAAAAACCAACCCTCAAATTCATAACGTTTATCTCGAGAACTCATCAAACATCATAATTTCAAGAACGAAAGCAACATTTCAAGAACACTCATCAAGAATTCATCAAGAACTCAACATTCCAAATTTTATGGATGAAATTCAATTATGTAAATCATGATTGGCGTGTGGTTGAATGAACCCAAGAATATGAAATTTTACATACCTCGATCTAGCGAAACAAATCTTCGATTCGCAAGAAATCCTGATCGTTCTTCTTTTTCTCCTCTTTTCCTCTTCTTGAACTCCTCTCAAAATTCTAAGCGTAATTTAGGATTGTGAAAACTGACCCAAATCAATTTAGACCCTTAAAATAATACTAAAAACGTTTTAAGCTGATAGGGTAAGGAAAAGACCAAAATACCCCTCACTAATTTGGGTAAATTTCCTTAACTGGACATACTGACTTCAAACGGGCATATCTCCCTCATCCGAACTCGTAATTTAACAAACTCAGTGGTGTTGGAAAGATGATTCATAGACCTTTCATTTGATATCTTATGTGACACCTAACTCATCCTGTACTGAAAGTTTTGGTCGTTTGAAGTTGACCTAAAACTCACAACTTAAGTATAACTTGCCAAATTCTCAATTTGGCTCTTTCCAATTTAGTTCTTTCTAAATTTAACTCTTTAAAATACCGAGGTGTGACAATTAGTAACCCTTGGAAGTTTAGTAAATACATCTGGCATTTGATTTGGAATATTTTGTAAATAAATCATCTTTGGAACCTCTTGTACATTGATTTATTCGAGGATCTAAATGAGATAGTGATACTGCATTCCAGTCTATCTCCTTTTTAAATTCCTTATGTGAAATCCTCTAATATTGGGCATTCAAATTCATCAAAATGTTAATCAACAAATTTTTCTATAAGTAAATCTCCAGTCTTAGGTTCTAAAGTATTTTATAATTGAAGGAGATTCATACCCAACATGTATTTCCAATCTTCTTTGGGGATTAATCTTTGTACGTTGCAGTGAAGCAATTGAAACATATACCACACATCTAAAAAAATTAAGATGGGAAATATTTGACTCCTTTCCAAAAGTCAATTGTAATGTGGAGAAATCAT